GCACGAGGCGAAGGTTATCGTTGTGTTACTCGACGGAATCACCGAAAATTATGATGTCGTCTAGATAGACGAGACATCTAGATGGTATAAGGTGCCGGAGAACGTGGAACATGAGACGTTGGAAAGTGGCCGCGGCGTTACAAAGGCCAAAGGGAAGGGTCTTGAATTCGTAGAGGCCTTGGGGCACAGTAAACGCCGTCTTCTGGCGGTCATTTGGGTGAATCTCTACTTGCCAAAACCCCGACTTAAGGTCCAGAGTGGAAAACCACCGAGCGTTACCGAGGGAATCGATAGTGTCGTCAAGCCGCGGCAGAGGAAACGAATCTCGTACCGTTAATGCATTTAGACGTCGGTAGTCGGTGCATAACCGCAAACACCCGTCTTTTTTGGGGACTAGGGTAATCGGGGAGGCCCAGGGTGACGACGAATGCCCGATAATATCAGCCTCTAGGAGGTCCTCGAGTATCTTATCGACCTCGTCTCGATAACGAACGGGGATACGACGAGGAGGTTGCCAAACAATTTTGGCATTACCGGTATCGATTGTGTGTTGGATAAGACTGGTACGGCCAATGGAATTAGTGGACCAAGAGAATAAACCGGGAAAAGATGCCAGCAAGTCACGTAACTGATACCGCGCAGCAACGCCAACGGTAGATGGAGGAGGTAGAATATCATCTAGAGAGGTGGGTTCGAGGGCCACTACTGCCATGACCGTGTTGTACAAAAGGTAAAAATCAGAAGCAGGGTCAGAGGTTGGGGAAGAAAGAGCAGAAAGAGATGAAGGGGTTCGATCCTGAGCTAGAACTACGCGGCGGTCGCGAGCATATATCACGCAGTTGTGTTGTGTTAGAAGATCGAGTCCTAGAACTATAGGCCAGGGGCTATGGGGCGTAACCAAGAAGTCGTGGCTAACGTGGGAATCGCAGAAAAGAAAAGGTAACGAGATGGAACCAGAAATGGGGATTTGAGTCCCGTTAGCGGCATGGATAAGACAAGGGCGAGGTAAGGGTTCGATAAGGCAATAAAATGACTGGGGGATGCTAGCAGGGGTGATAAGGGAAACATTAGCACCTGTATCTATAAGAGCTTGGGTGTCGTGACCTTCAATAGATACGACAACAGTAAAAGAAGAAACAGGGGTGGAAGTATCTGCAGAAGTGGAAGAAACATGAGAAGACTTACAAGGCGGGTTGTGGCCGCACCGTCTAGCCTCAGGGCCGAACGCACCACAGTAACGGCAACCAGGATTGTGATGAGGGAAGCGAACAGGAAGGTTGGAGTTCGGTTGATGAGTAAGAATCAGCCGTTGTGGAATCGTTGGCAGTAATGGACGTTTAAAAGTTGTTGGTTGGAAGGTAGGGCGAGTCGTCAGGCGAACAGAAGTAGATGGGCTGGGTGCGGCTGACTGTGGAGAGGGGGATGCCGGTGATGGCCGATGGATTGAGCGATACGATTGGTAAAAACGGCAAAAGTCGAGTGCGGCTTTCAGGGAGGAGGGGCGGTGGGTGGGTGATTAGCGCTTCAGAGATCTTAGGGTCAAAGAGTCCCGTCATAAAACGGTGCAAAACCTGGCTTTGTCGGTGGGGGTCCGGGCTGGAGGGGAAAGCGAGGGCGGCCAAACGGTTGAGTTCGGCTGCAAAATCATCGAGTGTCTGGTTAGGCTTTTGCCGAAGCATCGCAAATTATTCCAGGGCGAAACCCGTGTGTATAGGGGAAGCAAACAGGTTCTTCAAAAGTTGACGGGCGGAAGGAAACGGGGTGGTGTGGCTTTAACTCCGGCGGTCATCAGACGGCGGCGGACTGTGGGGGAGAGAAAATTTAACAGGAAAGCTGTTTGTTGATTGGTAGGGACGGTCGTAAAGAAGATTTCAAGGTCGTCTAGCCATTCGTTTAGGTCTGCGCCGACCTCGAAGGTGGTCAGGGCCAGCAATGGGGAAGGTGTGGGCTGGAC